TCTATTAACTGAACATTAGGTTGCTCGCTCGGCCCCTGCTTGCTGCTATTGATACACAATCTGTACAAATTGAAAATAGGGATGGAAATTGTTAGCAATTTAATGATTTGGCTGCCTGAATCGGCTGCCTGCCTCGGGCGCAAACTTTTCAACGAGCGGCCATTAAAATTATATTAAAAAGTTTACACGGCAGCCGTTTGGCCTATTTCAATTTAAGTGCTGACACTTTCGGGCCGAGCCGGGCAATGCTTTTAATTTGCGTTTAATGAAGTGGCATTTTAAAGCCAGAATACGTATGTATATGGCTCAGGCTCAGCTTCTTCGCCTAGAACAACTTTTGACACTTGCCAACAAATATAAATTGTTGCAGGCAGCGTGAAAAAGTGTCAGGCTTCTGCGGTTGCTGCAGTCGCAACTCCCAAGACTCATTTTTCACACCCAGCTAAGATCTCTTGGGTAGCAGGGGGCGCCTGTTGACTGCCTAACTGACTGCCTAACTGACTGACTGACTGACTGATTGTGCGGGCTCTGGGGCAAAAGTTTTTCGCATTAACTTCCGCTGCACGCCGCGTCGCGTTTGAATGCGATTTTGATTTGTCATTCGTTGCGTCGTGACAAAAGCCGACGCCTACTTAGTGCGACGCGCACAACTTTTTTACCCCTACCCCTACCCTTTCCCCGCACCCTTCGCATTGCCTTTGCCATTGCCATTTCCATTTCCGCAGCAGCATTCAGAAATGAAAGCAGCTCCATCAGACGGCAGGCGCCCACTTGTCGCCGATCATTGGTTTCCGTTTCCAGCCAGCCCAGCTGCAAGTCGAACTCTGCGACGTGCACAAGCGCATTTTGAAGTTTATGAAACAGCAGCAGCAGCAGCAGGCAGCGGCGACAAATCCAACTTTCTGAATAGATTAAGTTAAAAGTTTTGCTCATTTTCAGCATCGCCTCAATTGAGAGCTGCTGCCTAAGCGTCGACGAGCTGCATCACCTATGTGAGTCCGCTGGCAAAGAAAACAAAAAAATGAAAGAAAGAAGAAGACGAAGAAGACGAAATCAACGTAATGATGTCAACGCCATAGAACTGGAACTGGAGCTGGGCCGGGCCACGTTGCACACAGCCAAAATCAAAACTTTCTCAAGTATCATTAAAACTAACCGAAAAATGGAAAAGCGCGAACCAAAGAACGAACGAGTGAGCGAGCGAGTTTTCTTTCCATTTGCTGGTGCCTTCATTCAGCTATTATCTTGTTGATTTGCTTTCTTTGGGGCGGTGGCACGTACTTGGCCCACCTTGTTGCCGCAGCAGAAGGTCAGGTCTTTATTGTGTGTGAATCTGTTCCTGCTGCAGCGCCGCTCTTAAAATATGTTTTCCAAAGTTTGTCCAGAAGCCAGCCAGGGCAAGTTAAGCCCTTTGTTGCCAACAATAAATAGACCAGCAGCAGCAGCAACAGCAGCAACAATTGCCAGCCGACTGCCAATTATGGCGCGCACAAAAGTATGCTACAGCAAATGTTATTCAATTATTTGGCAAAGAAATGGGCGCTTGTTCTGATGTGGTGGATGTGAATTTCATCAAACGAAATCCGACTAATAATGCCACTCACACAGACAACGTGTGAAGGCTTCGATTATTTATGACGGGCACATTTATGCGAGACACCCACTCCAGCTGCACGCCATAAATATATTGCATGTAATTAATTAATCAGCCCAATGTACCGGAGTGTGTCGCTCGGGCCGGTCGTTAAGTGCGCCTGCTTAATTGCATCAATCTTAATCGCATAGCCCGGCAAGCAGCTGTAATTCGAGCAAGAATCGCCCCGGGCTCATAGATAATAGAAATTCAATATGAAGCCCCATTCCCAGTCCCAGTCCCAGTCCCAGTCCCAGTCCCAGTCCCAGCCCCATTCCCAGCTCCAGCTCTAGCAGCGCTTGAATGGCTGCTGTCGACTGATTCCATCTAATTGTTGGCTGGGCTGCTCTTTGCTTGGTCCACTCGAGTTTCATTCAATAGCCAAATTATTTATTGGCCATATACGAACGACTACAGCTATGTGCCTGCCTCTAATCAAACTGTGGACAAGAGCTGGGCCATGTGCTGGATGGCCATTGTCGGCCATATCCGACAGACGTTGCTTTATTACTTTATCTCGACTCGACTTTTGCTCCGAATTTAATAAGCAAACCATGAAAACTATTATAGCCAAATAATTGGCCTGATTAAATGCGCTTCAATGTGAAATTGCAACAGCTACGGAGGAGGGAGCTCGGGCTCATGCCTTAAGCCTTATTGAACACGTGCTTGAGCTCGTGAGTTTGGGAAATTAGACTCGAACCGGCTTCCCAAGGCGTCGTCTAATGAGTTTCGTGGCAACGCAAACCCGCAAAAACTTGAAGACATTATAAATTTACGTAAGAACTTGTGCTGTCATTATTTAAAACCACGCCAGCACACACACTCAGAGAGAGAGAGAGAGAGTGAGAGAGAGAGTGAGGGAGAGAGAGAGAGAGAGAGAGAGCGATGCTCATATACGTATGCATATACACATATCTATATTTATCAAAGCTTTTCTTGTTGTTGTTGTTGCTGTTGTTTGCTAGGGTACAAAGTGTATGCAAAGAAACTTTTAGTTAATTAAAAAAAATAGAAGCAGCAGCAGGAGCAGCAGGGGCAGGAGGAGCAGCAATGGGGCGAAATTGTTGTATAAATTTTGCTCCTTATGCGCGACTAAATGAAAAATCTACCCATGAGTGTTGTTAACCTGATGAAAAGTAGGTAAGACCTTAAGCGAAACAGGCAACGGCGACTGAGAGTGAGACTTTGACTGCGACTACGATGGCGACTGCGACGCTGGCAGCGGCAGCACATTTGCGATTATTTCCCACGCGGGCACTCAAAACATAAAGAGCAATAAATTAAAAGCTAAGGCCACAGACTACGGCTAAGTACGACAACTACCATGACAACGACAAGAATGAGGATGAGGATGAGGTTGAGGATGGGGATGAGCAGGAGACTGTAGACTGTCGCCAGGCCATCAGCGACATCAAGGATTCTGATGAAACAGCGCGCGCGAGCGTCCTTCAAGACGCTAAAAATCAAATAAAGGAGCACCGTTCATTTGCCCCCGGGCAGCCACTTTAGGTGCAAATGAAAAATGTAATTATTTCGTAGATTTGCGTTCACAAAAATAAACACGCGGAAAATGTTACTATTTGACGGCCTCGGGCTCCACTTGAGCAGTGGGACGGACGCCGGCTCCTGCTGCCTGCTGCTGCTTGCTGCTGCTGTTTGCTGCTGCTGCTTGCTGCTGCTGCTCACAGCCTAATGAGCAAGAGCCAAACGGGAAAAACTTAAAAAGGCAAAAAGGCCCATAAAATGTTAAATAAACAAATAGTGGCTGACACAGAGCATTGGCCCAAATGAGAGCAACTTTTGTAGCTGGCGTTTGCAAAATCTCAAAGAAATTAGCGCATACAACTTGCGGGCATGGCTCAGGTGCACTGGGGGGCGTGGCAGCGCCCGGCTGCTGCTCATTAATTAAGAAAGTGGCAAATGAACAGCCAGCAAAACACGCTTCAAATTAAGGGGCTTCCTAGTGCGACGACAACGACGACGACGACGACGACGAGTCGTTTGCCGTTGACCTGTGGGCGGTGGGTGGTGGGTGGTGGGCTGTAGGAGTGGCAGTGGTCCGTTCGTACTGCGAATAAATCAGGTTTTATTTGCTTTCACTTGTTCGCTGCTCTGATATTATGCTTCCCCCATTTTCATTCGGTTTGAAGGGCGCTTTGTTTGCTGCCGCGTCGCCGCTTGCGGTTTTCCAGCATTGGGGCCACTGCATTTTGTTGTTGTTGGCTCAAACAAAAAAGTCGAAAATTAAATTATTAATTTATTGCCCGTTGCTCGAAGCCCCGGCACAGCTCCACTTTCTATGGCCCGGTCTTCTTTTCAGCATAAAAAAGGAAAAGGCAAACAGAGAGAGAACCAAAATAACCTGCCCGTTACGTTACTGTGGCGCCACATTCTGTGGCTTTCCTCAGCTCAGCTCTCAGCACTGGCCCCCACGGCTTGCTAATTATTCATAAATAAAGCGTACATAGGTCGCTGCTGGGGAATAGCTGTGCCGACAGGGCACAGCATTCGACGTTTGCTTATTTATTTAATAATTTGCACAAGTGCCGCAAAATGTTCTTTGATTGAAGTTAATGCGCCGGCCAAAAAGCAATTCGCCAGTCGCTGCCACAAAACCAAACAGCCAAACGGCCAAACTGGGCTCTTGGCTGTTGGCTGTTGGCTGTTGGCCTACTTAGGYTCGTCGATCGCAGTCGCAATGAAAAAGCAATTAACAGCCTTAAATGCTCATAGATATATAAAATTAATTTTCATGTTTAACAAATAATCAGAGCATACAAACAGCCCCATTATGCCCAGCTTCCGTTTGCTTTTTGTTCCCTTTCCCTTTGCCGGAGATGTCTTGAAATTTCTGTTATCAATGGATTTCTGAATGGTTTGGTTCTTTCAATGATTAATTATTTGAGGCGCATCAGAATACATTAGAGGCCAGTTATAAATGTAATTCGAAAAATGAGTATAATATATTACTATTGAAACAAAAACCGAAGACAAACTAATGTCATAAATCTGATCAGAATTTTAGAGTATAAAATTAATTCAATAATAATATTAAAGAGAGTAATAAGAATAATAATAAAAAAAAAAATAAATAAAATTGATCAAATAAATA